TGGGAAGGTTAGCGCAACAGAAGAAGTTGACCCTGTTGGAGAGAAAGTGCGTCAGCAGCGAAGTGCAAGGTCAGTATGGCCAATACCTGTCGAGGTTCGAGGACTTCTGCAGGGTGAGCGGCTTTCAATGGCCTCCCGCACTGCAAGACGTCGATCCACTGCTGTCCGACTACATGGATACGCTCTTCATGGAGGGTCGATCTCCCCACGAGGGAGAAAAGACTTTTGCAGCCTTGGAGTTTCACATGCTCGAGGTAAAAGGAAAGTTGCACCGTGCAAGAAGATGCTTGAAGGGGTGGAGGAAAGCAGTCCCAGCTCAGAGCCGCTTACCAATGCCTATGTTGGCCATGTATGGAATAGCTATGACCCTAGCAGCTGGAAATCATCTCGAGATGGCGTTAAAGACAGTTGTGGACTTCCTGCTCTACCTTCGTCCCGGAGAAGGTTTGGATCTACGTTCGCGAAACGTGGTTGCCCCAGTGCGGGGAGCAGGTATCCAGTACAAGTGGGTGATTGTGATTATCAGAGACCAAGAAGGACAGCGCCCCGACAAGACTGGAGTGTTCGACAACAGCCTGGCCATAGACCACACGCTGTGGGCCGGGGAGCAACTGCTGCTGAGGGCCAAGAAGGCTCCGACGAAGGACTCCCTGATCTTCAACTTCAGCATGGACAACTACCGCAAGCAGTTCAGCGCAGCCGGCGTGAAGCTGGGGTTGGGAAGCCTACACCCTTACCAGCTGCGACACGGGGGGGCGACGGAGGACCTGTCCTCCCATCGAAGGGAGTACAATGCCGTCAAAGCCCGTGGGCGCTGGAAGAGCGACGCAAGTGTGAGACGTTATGCAAAGGTGGGCACGGTGCAGGAGTTGCTCAACCGACTCACTCCTGCACACCTCAAGTACTGCCGGTGGGCCGAGAAGAACATGGCCAAAGTGTTCATAGGGGCATTGCCAGCCAAGATGCCCCCATAATAGATGTTTCCCAGGTGGACGTCTTCTCGATGAAGAAGCGCCCCCGTCATTTCATTCTAGAGATTTTTGCAGGTACTGCTCGAATTTCTTCAGCTCTTCGAAAGGTCGGACTGCCGACCTTTCCCATTGACATTGACATTTATCCTTCACATGATGTTCTTGACCCTGAGTGTGCGCACAGCATACTCAACTGGATTGCTGGTGGTCGTGTCATGATGGTTTGGCTGGGCATGCCATGTACGACTTTCTCGCAAGCTCGTCGGAACGATGGGGTAGGTCCTCTTCCTCTTAGAGACGAACTTCACCTATGGGGTCTTCCTAACCTTAAGCGGCATGATGCACGCAAGCTGGCTGAGGGTAACCAGTTGTTCAACTTCACTATGAAGGTACTACATCTGTGCCAACATCATCATGTCCCTACATCTTGGAAAACCCCCTCACATCGTTTGCATGGTCCATGCCTCCTCTTCAGAAGTTTTGTCAACTTTACCAACCTGGTTTCTGTGACCTCGACTTCTGTGCTTATGGGGAGATTTGGAAAAAACCTACACGCTTGATGTACCAGTTCATCGATATCTCGTCCATGAGCCTTCGATGTGCAGGGACTTTTTTGAGATGTTCCAACACTAAGCGGCCGCATGTGCCTCTGACAGGTCGAGATGCCGATGGCGTCTTCATGACGCTGCGGGCGCAGCCCTATCCGCTGCCCATGACCGGTGCCTTCGCCAAGCTTGCGCTCGGGCACTTCAACATGAGCACTGGATCTCGTTAGCATTTGAGCGGCCGGGACACTACATGATAGCGGTAAAGGGAGTACAGTGTAAAAATTTCCCGAGTTGGCATGGGGGTCACAAAC